CAAGTAGGTGCTTTAGACCACTGAGCCATCTCTCCAGCCCCAAGTTTATGTTTTCTTAGGGTGGGTTTGGGGAAGGGGAGCACAGGAAAAATTAATTGGATAAATAGTAAGGTCACTGATAAGACTAATGCTCAGCAGAGTGCCTGACATTTGCAAGTTTAGCTGCAAAGATGAGCTTTTTGCATTAGACTGAGTGCGGTGTGTGTGTGTGTGTTCTTGGGATTGAACTGAGAGCCTTGCTTATCCTAGCAAGCATTCTACCACCGAGCTATATCCCAGCCCTTTTTATTTATTATTTTGATATGGTCTCCTTAATTTGCCTATGCTGGGCTGGAACTTGTGATCCTCCTGTCTCAGCCTTCCAAGGAAGTAGGATTACGCAAGTAAGCCACTACACCCTTCTAAGCTGAATTTTTTTGGCTGCCTAGGGCTGTCCTGTTCATCTATGTGTAGCACAATGCTGGGCGCCAGAGGTTGAATTTAAATGGATTTTCTTTGCACTCTTGGCTAAACGATAAGATTAAAGAAATCTCTTAAGGGCTCCCCCCACCCCAAGAGATTTCGGGAATTGAACTCAGCTCCTTTCACTTGCCAGGCAGGGGTTTATTCTACTGAGCCATCTCCCCGGCCTCTCTTAAGGGTTTTTGACATCGTTTTACTAAAAGAAAAAAAAAAAACATTGAAAGGGCTTTTGGTATTCCACCTGTTAGGAGCGCAAAGAACAAATAAAAACCTTGGAAATATATAGCTGACAAAAAACTTTTCAGGTCGCTCAACGTGACCTTTAAGTGCCTGTTAACAATAGATAAATAAAATTAATAAACCTTGTCATTGTGGATTTATAACTGACACAGTTCTATTCATTATATAGATATTTATTCCACCATAGACATTTTATCGAAAAGATGCGCAGAGGGAGAGGAAAAAACGCTCAAGCACAGCTCACAATTCAGTGACGGCAGGATCATTGGACGATGGCAACATCAGGCTATCCAATCGTCAGGGTGTCTAGAGAGAACGCTCTCTGGATTGGTTAGAGGAAACGTCTCTTTAGGTTCTTTCAAGCAGGAGCTTCACGCGGGGCTCGCCTGCCATTTCCTCTGACCAATCAGCAGATACCTAGGGCGGGCTTTGCCGCCGTCGCCCTGTGGGGCCGTGCTGCGGGGGGAGGAGCTCGGCCCTCAGTTCCGCCGCGGTGCGAGGACGGGGCGTGGCCTCCGGGCGCGGGCTCTAAGTGGTGGGCGGAGCTAGCGGTGTCGGCGGTGGAGCCGGATGCGGGCGTCGCCGTGGCTGCCCGGGCCCTAGGGATGGGCGGAGCCCCGGCCGCTAGTGTTGGTGGCCGCCACCCCCGATCCCGAGACGGTGCTGTCGCTGTGTTCCCGCGCGTCGCTGCTTCCCAGGGCGGCGGTATGCTGGGGAAAGGGGTGGTCGGCGGCGGCGGCGGCACCAAGGCGCCCAAGCCCTCCTTCGTGTCGTACGTGCGCCCTGAGGTGAGCGCGCGGGGTCGACGGGAACCCCTTCCCCGCGTCGGGCAGGCCGCTTCCTGCCCATGGGGCGGCGGGGCCAGGCCGCGGGGCGCGCGGGGTCCGCGGCGGCCG